AAATAACTGGTCACACTTTATAGAGAACAAAATACTTTGATCATTTCTTGACCATTACGAGTTAGATGAAGAACGGTGATGGTGAAATTTCAAGTAATAACAGATAAAGAGAGACATATGTATGTTGCTAGACAAATTGACAATGGCAATGGTGGAGCTATTTATCAGATGTTATTATACTCTTGATAGAGTACACACTATGCTTAAAGTATTTCTTTCTCCTCTATCATTTCACGTATAATACCTCTCTCTTCTCCTTTTCTCTAGATAAAATCACCACCATCGAGGCCCTTACCACTGTTGGACATCACATCACCTCACCACCACTGTGAATCATACCCTATTCTTTCCCTCCTCTCTAACCCTATTCGCAACCATCCATACATAGACCTCACGCATGTATGTTCATTTTATCGGTGACTTTGTCGCGGATGAGAATCATCATCGCAACGTAATATTGTGTCTTTTTGTCTTTCACAAATTGTTTATTTGGATTGGAAATATTTTAGGTTTTTTTTCAAATTATATTTACCTTCAATTGATCCCGGTAATGTAGGAGATTGCCAATGAGATTATTCACCAAGAACATAAGCATGGGTTAAGCACTTAAAACTGACATCCATACAAGATTGTTCTTCCTCTTTACATCAATATATGTCTTTTTTCTATTTCTAAAACCCTTAATTTTGTTCCATTTGTTTTGATTGTGAAAATAGATGAAACTATATTGGAATTTGTTCATCTGGACATGTTTAATTCATGTTTAATTGAGCATACTCATAGAGATACGGTCAATTTAAATGCTTTTCTTTTGTGTGCACATTGGTTTAGAGACATATATTGTAACATCGATCTTTTACACATTAAAATATTATAGTTTTTAAAACAATTTCTATCATGGGGTCTGATTTATAAAATATGGTCCCATATTTTTTTTTTCATTTCATTTATAAATACATTTGTAAAAATATTCCTTTAGGTATTACAATTGATACAATAAACCAGAGTAAAGCAACAAGGTTGCTTATGTCAGGGAATCTATGCTCGGTTTTATCCATTGGATCTCTACTATTTTTCCTAACTCAGCTCTTTAAGTTGTATCTCACAACATGTAATACATGGAATTTAAACACATTCATAAGACAATCATTGTCTCGTGAGCTACATGGGTTTAGACACATACACATTATCAAAATCGTATGATAAAAATCTAATTTGACATGCATTTATAAACATAATGCAAATCATGATATGCATGTACTCACTTAATTTAAGACTTATCGAGACATCCCGAGTCTGAGCTGTAACGACCGTAGATCCGGGCTAGTCAATTTAGAGATAATAGGGGTCAAAAATGACTTTTTGACAAAATATTATTTAGAATAAATAATTTGAACCAAGTTGTAGTATATGTCACAAGGTGTCCGTACATATAAAGAACACCGAAATCCGAGTTATAACGAAGAAGTTATGACTCGTCGAAGTTTCGCGACGGAATCGGCACGGCACCGTGAAGCGTAAAAAGTGAATTTACGATAGAGCGATATTTAGCCTTAGTAATCTAAACAAAAGTCGTAAAATATGTTAAACCGATAAAATCCATAAAAAGAACGCCCAAATCTGACTTCGTATGAAGAAGTTATGATTTTTCTAAAATTCGGCTTTGCAGTGTACAGCCCGAAACTCGAATTTTAGTTCGAGTGGTTTTTGGCTTATGCGACCTAAATGAGAGTTGAAGATCTCATTAATAGGAACTCAACGGTAAAAATACAGACGAAAACGAAGTCCATATGAAGGAGTTACGAATTCTTCGCGGTCATTTAACAATCTAAACGCCTCGTACTGTTAAATTTAAGATCAGTCTAGAATTAGCCAACGGAGTCAAAATGAAAGTTGTAGATATTATTTTTACGTACGCGTGGATATAAAAAACGTCAAAAACGGAGGTCGTATGTGAAAGTTACGGATTTTAGAAGTCGGAAGTGCGTTGTGCGAAAATGAGTGATGTGGCACAATCTTGGCCATTGCTTTCTCCCCAAGTCTTGCCACTAGATGGTGACATGTGGCACCAAGTTCAGCCATTTTCACCCTATAAATACCACCTCCCCCACCCTCATTTTCTTCACACCTTTCCCATTCTTTCTTCTCTTTACTCTATCTCTCTAGAACCTCTCTCTAGCCCCGAAATCCCCCGAAAAGCCTAGGGAACCTCCCTAGCACGAGGCGGAAGCCCCGGAGTGCTCAACGGCTCCGAGAAGAAGAGCTTTTCGGCTCGGAAACGCTTCTCCAAGCAAATCTTGGTTTTCTATGAAGCCCGCTGTTTCGTCGAAGGAAATTATTTTAAAGTAAACGAAGTGTTGTCTGAGTACCGAGTCACCACCTTCTCAGGTGAGTGCATGGTCCCTTTCATCTTACACATAGATATGAAGTATTTATTATATAATTTACGTGTTGTGAGTGCATAGTTCCCTTTCATCTTACACATAGATATGAAGTATTTTAATATAAATTACGTGTTGTGTGTGCATATTGTCTGAATACTTGCTGTCTATGCTGGGTGAAAGATTTTTATACATGTTTTAAATGATTTAAATTGTATATGTATTTTATATCTACAAAATGTGTTGGGTAAAACATGGGTAGATGAAATAGTTGTTTTGTGATAACACGATGGGAGACATCAGTGTTGTCAGTGATCCAGTCATCTAGTGGAGTATAGATGACGACTATGGACGATACTAGACGGTCCAGTGGAACGATAGCAGGTTCATAACATGTATGTATTTTTGAACTAGGTGCTCATTAGGTATTTTTTTGAACTGAGTGTGTTCACTACGTATCTTTGAACTGAGTGTGTTCACTAGGTATTTTGAATTAAGTGTGTTCACTAGTTACTTTTGAACTAAGTGTTTACCAGATGTTTCGGACTACGTGTTCACCAGATATATTCTATAAGCCTTGGTAATGATGGACTTCGTGTTGATTCCTTAGGAATAAATAAACGAGGAATAGCTGATTCTTAGGGTAGATCCTTAAGACTAAAGAAGATAATGGGGATGGGTAATTAGGTTGATTGTTTGATTGTTTAAACATAATAATTATATTATTGTGGGTTGAAAACCCTATGTACTCACCAGGTTTCCCAACTTGACCCACTCAGTTTATTTATATCACAGGTGTTGATACGAAGTCACTTTACACTGAGAGATTTAAAGAGATGTAGATCACTAGTGTAAATAAATGTAAGTTCTGTTTATGCTTATGTTCCTGTATTGACGATGACATCCCAAACGTTTTAAAATGAATAAAGTACGTTTCTTCGGAAATGTTTTAATAATGTATTTATCATGTTTTTCTGGGAACAAATTCCGCAACATGTTTATTAAAAGAAGAACTCTTATTTTTATAAAGCATAAACAAAATCGGTCTTTTCTGCCCGTGAAAATGGGGATGTCACATGAGCTATCTACTAAATCTGATGTCCATAAGGACTGCCCCAAATTGGGCTTAGCCGCATAAGCAACCTTTTTCTAATAAAATATTCATAATGACCACCCAAATTGGCATCGCATAAGAGACTCTTTTCTATTAAAATGTCCATAAGGATTCCCCTAAATTGGGCTCAATCGCATAAGCGACAACATATGCTGACCTTTTTGGTGGACATATCATCAAGCAGGCCCCGTGATTGGTTCCCATGTGAACCCCTAGGCAACATTTCACATTTCAAAAGTCGGAAACATTTCCAAGACTATCCAACTTGATCATATGATTCATGGTTACTACTTTTCCTTAACTGACTCAATCATGCCTAAATAATTAGTAATATGCCATGTACCCCAGATGGGAAAATCCACATGTATTCACCTGGCTAGTTAGTAAAGACTAACTTCTGATTTGGCTTCTAGCCTTGTGCTATCTCTTTTGGGTTATTTATTAAGTTGTCACATTTATTATGTACGTATTTAGTCTTTATTAGCGGATTGGGTCTCTCCATCTATCATTATGGTAATAGGGTTAGACTATTTATAGTATGTGCATGTATCATTTTAGGGTTATCAATTGTATTGCCCTACTTAGCTTTTACAAAAAAGTTCACATTGAACTCTTCTAAAGCTTTGATAATATTAAGCATCCGCTACATTTTTTATCATTGTTTTTGTTTATTGATACTTTACTGTTTGGAGTCTATCGATCTTTATATTATTATTCCTACAATTGGTATCAAAGCGGGAGATTGTGTAACTCATATGCAACTCTTCTATCGAGTTTTATGAGGGTTTTCCGTTTTTGTTAGATCTGTTCTTGTCGTCATCATCGTTTTCATTGACTGTTGACTTCGGACTGAGTCCTTATTTTACCATAAACTCGGTCATTGTTTTACACATCTGATTCCATACAGGTTTTTGTGAATTATCATCATGCAACACGAAGATCCACACCCTCTTTCTTTCAACCTTTCTAGCAATATCGGATCTACCACCAGGATCCATATTCTCTTCCATAGGGCTACGAGGTATGGGCTCTGCTCTTTGAAGACTACGTTCTAGGTCTTGAAGAACATGGAGCCACCATATGGCAAGCTATGGCACCAGAAACATATTCTCATACGTCGACAAGAAAGACTATCAAGATCTTGGCTGAGTACAATGCACTTCTTGTGGATCACATAAATATTGCCTAGGATGAGAAAGACAAGTTGCTGAGTAACATCAAGGCATTAAGAATAATAAGGTTTGCTCTACCTAAAGACACTTTTCGTCTGGTGAGTGCTTTTGAGACGGCGAAGGAAATCGAGAGAGAGAGAGAGAGAGAGAGAGAGAGAGAGAGAGAGAGAGAGAGAGAGAGAGAGAGAGAGAGAGAGAGAGAGAGATTTCAAACTTCCCTAGACCCTTCCATTTCTACAGCAGCTGGTTGTCCCTCGGAGTCGGTCAGCAACACACTCATCTTCTACGTTGATTTCATCTTCTCAGTTCATCTTCTTCGCTGATCATCTCGATTCATCTTCTTCTGTTCATCTGCTCCTCGTCGCTGCATCTTCTCAGTTCATCTGCGTCTTCCTTGATATATTTGCATCTTCTCAGCTCATCTTCTTTGCTGATATGATCTGCTCATGTGATTCATGTTCTTCGCTCAGGTAGTAATTCCTTTGTTTCCGTCTCATGTGTTCAATATCATTTTGAATGTGAAATTTTTTAAAATTGCTGGCGAATATGTTAGTTAACATTGTTTCTCTATCCTATCTTCTTCTCTGATCTGATCTGCTTCATCAATCATCATTGCCGATGAGTGTAAGAACATTGTTTCTCTGTCTCATCTTCTAAGCTGATTTCATCTGCTTCATCTTGCTGGTGATATGTAGTATATTCTGGAAATTACTATTTGCTTTAACCTGTTCATTATTGAATTTTTATAATTTGAAAATTTTAAAATTTGAAATTATTAAAATGACACAACATAGGCGGCCCTTTTCATCTCAATGTCAATCTAACTAGTGGCATGGTATTCTGTCTTCTCGGTCAACATGACACAACATATTCGAGTCATTACACAAAACCCGCTAACTTCTTTATTGTTGTAATTAGTGGTGTACATTGGGACCGGGTTTGTCAGCCCAACTCGTAATGGGCCTGAAACTTGCCAAAACCAGGCCCTACCAAACCCAATTGGTTTAGTCTGTTTTTGACAATTTTTTGTTTTGTTGTGTGGAAACAAGAGTGCTCCCATTTGGTTTCAATGCACCTAAAAAACGTTATCTTGTTCCAATGAATTCTTGGAAAATCACAAGTCGGTTTTCATTTTTTATGATCTTATCTTTCATATTAGTTTCTTTTCTTAATTGATGTATTAACTTTTCTATATTTCATATTCCATTATTGTATCATACTATAATCGGTATTTCGATAAACATAGCATCAAATCAAACTGATACCAGGGTTCTCAATTTCTACAAAACTATGCTGCAACTTTCGGTTATGATACAAATTCTTGGTTTAATTTTGGTCTCTATAATTACTATTTCTTGTACATATCTATGAATCTAACACTCTTTGCCTTCAAAATCTAACCATTTTCATCTTCATCTTCATCATCAGAAGACAAATACGATGTTCCCATCCACGATCTAAACCCTTGATTTATTCGTCTCTCAACATCCGGTGTCATTTCCACATCACCAAATTCCAACATTTCTATTCCAATAATCTGGTTATGCCCATCAATGTCACCATCATCAAGAATCATGGCAGCTTTCCTTCTTAACAAGGAGGCAGTGGCCCCATATAGAGTAACTAGGCCCCACCATTGAACCTCATAACACCAAAACAATGGTAATGAACAAATGCTCTCACTTGTAAGGAGAACTAAACCAAAAAATATTGCTACAAAACCAAACATTATTGCAAACATTGAATTCAAAATGTATAGACATCGCACACCTCCTGTAAAAACACAAAAATTAATATAAACTTCTTCTGTGTACTTAACGTGTACAAATATACATGGTTGTTTCTTTTGACTTAATGAGTAAGCCAAAAAAAAAACATGGCTTAATGTATTAAGACACTAACTTTTTACCTATTTTTGCCACTCACATTAACATTATTGAATATGATGAAATTTGTTTTTAGAATGTAAGGGTAAAATGGTCATTTTGACTCCCTAAGAAGTTTTATTTGATTTAGAGAAGAAAAAGACCTACCTCCGTTTGGAGCACAGTAGTTATTCTCGACCACTTTTAAAAATCCATGTCTTGTTGGAGCAGTATAAGCTACAGACATCCCTGTAGATCAGTTATTCTTTTCTGATTACACAAAATTCTGAATTTCTGTGCTTTTTGTAGAGAAATTAATAACGTAAGCATTGAATAAAAGATGATTTGCTGAAACATATGACACTAATTCAGTATTAAAACACTGATTCTTCGAAGACTATACAGATAAGCAAAATTTTGAAGATGAAGATTTTAAGCAGATGAGAAACCTAAGAAAGGATCAAGAAATATATGGCTCAATCGCATTCTCCTAAAATTAGTATAATATCATCTAAAACTCAACACAATCATTCTTCTATCCAATAGTAGTCGTTTGAATCTCGATAAAATCTTCTAAAATTTTGAGTTACTCACCAGCAACAAGGTAAACAGCAGACGTCGAGAAAAGGATAGCCGAAGGAACAAACGCAATCCTCCAGTAATAATAAACAAGCTGTTGATCCGTAAAATTGAAATCTCTATCCTCATGGTCGTTATTTGTTGTCGATTCAATACGATGATGTTTGCAGAAAGGGCGGTGTTGAAGATCACTAGGGAACACCATTTTGAAGCTGATTGCAGATGAAATGACAATACAGAAGATCAAGAATACCAAAATGGAGATGAAGATCGGCCGTCGTAGCTTAATCCATGCTTTGTCTTCGTCACGGAGGTTCTGGTACTCGTGTTTCGGCATGAATGCTTGTCGTAGAGCATCTCCTATGATCGCCATATCTTGAGATTCATATAATGTATAAACCCTAGGCCCTAGCAATTGGGGGTTGTAAATGTAAAGTAAACTCGATCGATTCGTTAATGGAAGTTAGTTACGTTGGTTCGCAGGAAAAACCAATATAGAAAAGTTTGCGCCATTTCAAAGAGCATGCATTGCGCCATTTATTTAGATGATAACTCCTTAGCTTATTTTATTTTCTGTGGAAATAATTAAATTAAAATCAACTTATTTATGTTATCTCAATCACAATATTAGTAAGTTGATTTTTAAGAATTTCTATTCAAACATTTAAATTTAGCTCAATAAACCCTTTTTTTTCCTATCCGAATTTGTTTATAACCCAAGGTTTCCTGTTAGCTTTTAAAGATATTTTATTTATATGGTTTTGACTTGTGATATTTGAAATTTATAATTATAATATAGTCCAAATCCCAATAAAAAGAGGTAATTACAAAACTAGACAAAATCATTAATTAAATATTTATTTATTTTTAGTCAAAAATTAGAATTTATAAAAAAATAACCACTAAAAACGTAAATGATTAAATGTGATACGATCAACGGCTAGTTGACTACTCTTTGGGATCAGTGTAGTGTACTGTCTGGTGGACTATCTATTCTCAGGTCTGTCGCAGCGGCGGACGCAGAAGATTTGAAAAGGGGGGAGAGGGTATCACTCGTATAAGAAGGTGGTGCACTTAATTGGATTTTTTTTTTACACTACGGGGCATAATCGGAGCAATGATCCAGGAACCCAAATGCTCTACATAGGTCTGCCACTAGCCTATCGACCCATAATATATAAAGTTCAAATTTTCAGTTTTGATATTTTGTTTGTGTTTCAAGATTGAAATTCTCTTTCAATGGAGCTTCAAATAACAACAGGTGATACTCCGAATTTTGAACTTTTTTTCTTGTTTGATATTTGAATTAGTAGATATGTTTTTTTAAATAAAATAAAATAAAATCGTAGGTTCTTAAGAAACCTACGGTGTACAAGCTTTCAATGGACAAAACGTGCATTAAATACTTGTATACCGTAGGTATCTTAAGAACCAATTGTTTTCGTAATATTTTTACTTTTTATTTTATTTTTTGTTTGTAGTTTGTATAAAACCAGTAATTGAGCCTGTGCTTTGCGTTGGGTTTTTATGTTTTTTTGTTACGTATTAAGAGTGACAATTAATTAAACCAATGACATTTTACAAGATTTAAAGTTGAGAAAATCAAAATAACATTTAAATGAACAGAGATGAAAAATACATTTTACAAAGTCTAGGATTAAAAATCATATTATATATTACTACGGGGATGGAGGATAAACGCAAAAGTCTAAAAAACGAAAACATAATAAGTGATATTTAACAAAGTTGAAGGTAGAGGGAGTGAAAGTGAAAGTTTAGAAAATGAAAGGGTAAAAGTGATATTTTACAAAGTTGAAGATAGAAAGGATGAAAGTAACATTTTAAAAAACAATAGGATAAAAAAAATCCATTTTTCAAAATAAAGAGGATACACAAAGTTGATGGATTAAAGTTACACTTTACGCATTGATATGTATTTGTACTAACATTTAACAAAAATAAAGGGGTAGAAAAAAAATTACAAAGTAGATGAGAAAAAATCATATTATATATATACGATAAGGAGATAAAGATGAAGGATAAACACAAATATCTAGCAAACGAATTGGTAAAAATTATATTTTATAAAATTGAATGTTGATACCGGTGGGATATTTGTACTAACATTTAAAAAAAATAAAGGGGTGGAAAATAAATTTTACAAAGTAGATGAGAAAAAATCATATTGTATATATATACTATAGGGACGGAGGATAATCACAAATATCTAACAAACAAATGGGTAAAAATGATATTTTACAAAGTTGAAGGTTGAGAGGGGAGGAGGATAATGTTTTAAAAAGTAGAAGGATGAAAAATATCATTTTACAAAATACAGGGGTCGAAAGTGAATGATCATACAAAATTAGAGGATTGAAGTTAAACAACGTGTATTAGCATACTTATACATTGTGTTTAAAAATTTATACTTTTAGCTACAGTAGTAGTAGTAGCACGCGTACAAGAAGTTTGTATTTGTATATATTTATAATATCTAATATAATGCAATGTTGTAATTTTTATTACAAAAATAAATAAATAAATAAATAAACTTAAAAAATAATAATAATAATAATAATAAAACCGGAGATTTTTGCCCGAAACAATCAAAGGAAACAATAGACTATTTATGGTCTACGGTTTTGTTTTGCGAAAATAAAAAATGAAATAAAAATCCTTAAATACTTAACCTGAAACCATACACTATATAGGTGAAACAGTAGATGATTTAAATAGCCTACGGTTTTGATATCTATTTTGGAATAAGTTTTAAATTTGGCTAAAAATAGAAAAGTTATTAGGGAATTTAGCTAGATTAGTAATTTCCTCCATAAAACCATTATATTTTTGTTTTTTCAGTTTTCCATTTTTTTTCTTATTTAAATACCGAGGGTTTGTTTCTAGGCTTTAGATATCTTTTGTTATTTAATTTTTGGTTTTGTATTCATTTTGTTACTTAACTCTTTTGAAATTTTAAAATGTTATTAAACTATTGATTGTCTGTTCATTTAATCACTTAACTTTTGGTTTGATCATTTAACTTTTGGATTTGTGCTCATTTAATCACCTAACTTTTAAAATTGTGTTCATTTAGTCACTAAACTTTTAAAATATTTTAAAAGTTTAGTGATTAAATGAGTACAATTTTAAAAGTTAAGTGATTAAATGAACACAAATTCAAAAGTTAAGTGATCAAACCAAAAGTTAAATGACTAAATGAGCACAAATCCAACACTTTGATGACCTTTTAAAACTTAAAATAAGTTAATTTACCAGATAAACACAAAGTCAAAAGTTAAGTGCGTGAAAATGACCTAAACCCTTTGCGAAAACACTGTAAAAGTTCTTGATAATGAGTTAGAAAAGACCTTGGGAAAATTATTTTTCTAGTTATAATTGTTTTATAAAAAAACTTTAAATTTTTTATATTTATGAATAGTAATGCTATGACACTAAGATTATGAATATGATTTTTAAAAAAATTAATTTCATCACTAAAAAATGATTACCAACACAGGTTATTGTTTATTTATCTGTTACATCCATGTAAAGCATTTATTATTATGAGTGTGATTTTGAATATTGTTTTAATCATAAAATTGTTATTTGGGTGGTTAAACTGAACAAATTTCAAATTGCAACGGTTCTTGTGAAATTCGATGTTTTATACAATGTTGTTTTCTTATAAAAAAAAATCAAATTTTCAGTAGTTAAATAAAAAAAAATTTATATTGGTTAACCAACGAAACAATAGCTTTTATGAAAATTTGTCAATAAAATAACACAAAAATCATTAAGTTTACATCAAAATTATAATTAGATACTGTTTTTTTTTTTTTGTCTCAAACTTGACACTGCGTTTTTCAAATTGTTACAATTTTGATCACTTGACCGATCAAACCAGTTGTCTGCTAATAAGGCATGATAACGTGTCAATTTTAAAGACATAGTACGTTGGCATGTCAAAACTGGAAAAAAAATGTTACAAAAGACTAAATTTTCATTTTTTTTTTTTCAATTTTAACGCCAATCTATTTATTTAATTTTTTAATTTTGACACTTAGTTTTTTTGTTTCAAATTGATCATCATTTTTTCAATTTTATTTACTTTTGATGACATGACATTCCATTTTTTTTTGTTCCAAATCGGATATTATATTTTTGTTTTATTTGAAACCATATAAATATTTTCTTTTTTTATTTGAAATCATATAAATATATTTTTTTATTAAAAAATTATATGTTGTATAAATAAAAGGTTTTTACATTCAACCCATAATGTTATGTATAACGAGCGGTCCCTTGGTAATTAAAGCAAACATCAGACCCTCTTGTTCCCGAGATCAAATTAGTTTATTTGATTGTGCACTCTATATCTGCAAACTCATTTTAAAGCAAACATCAGACCCTCTTGTTCCCGATATCAAATTAGTTTATTTAGATGAAAAAAATATTTATACGGTTTCAAATGGAAAATTATCAAAATTAGAAAAAATAATGTTTTATTTGAATAAAAAATCACAAATTTGAAAAAAGTGAAAACTTAGTATATTTTGTGAAAAAAAAACATTTTTGACACATCAGCATGTCACGTCATCAAAACTAACACATTATCGTGTCACGTCAACAGACAACCGATTTGATCGGTCAAGTAACAAATTGGAAAACAGAGTAGTAAATTAGAATTTTGATCTAAATTTAATAACTTTTGTGCTATTTTCCCTATTAATAAACATTGTGGGCAAGTGACATTCAAATTAGCAGGTTTGATGCACCGGGTTTTATACCCATTTGGAGCATTAGGTTGGAAGTTCGATTCCCTTAAACTATCTCTTGTAGTGACACATGTGAGAAATTTTTCCCTTAAAATCTCTATGAAGATTGGATTTGTCTTGTAAAGAAGCTCGAACACAGAGGTTGTTCGCTGAAATATTACGAATAAGCTTTCGTTTAATTCGTTTGCCGTTTACAAAAGAAAATGAAGAAAAAAAACATTGTAGAATTAGAAATAACATGCAATCACCTATTGTAGGTGATTTTGATGTCATAAAAAAATGTAGATAATTGGCAATCCCGAACAAAGCACAACAATATACATATAGACTTTCTCAGGAAGAAAAACTTCTTCAAGTTCCATCACATAATGTACATAAACTCAAAAAATAATTGCATACAAATATAAACCCCAAAATAAGAATTATTTCTCAAAAAAAAAAAAATACAATTTATCAAACCCAAACAACATATATATAGATAAGGTCACATACTCCCGGTTCTACCAGGTGTCGTTTTAGGTTTGACTTTTGCAAAGTCAACCAAATCTCCAAACAGCTTATCTTCTGCCTTTGTAGGCTTGCCAGATGGCACATGCACATAGGACGCATTCGCCATTGAAGGCCCAGTGTACACAGTGCTGTTCAGATAACTGTCATCTCTCACAGACATCCCCGCCATTCTCTGATCAATATACTGTGCATTTTGTTGCTGCCCGTATCCATACCCATACCCATATCCACCACCACCACCATAACCGCCACCACCACCACCATAACCACCACCACCACCGCCATAGGCTTGTCCCATTTGGTTAATATACATTTGTTGAGCCATTTGCTGAGCCATTTGTTGAGGATTCAAGTAAGCCATTTGCTGCTGTGGTGGAGCTACACCTCCTTGGAATTGTGGTTGAGGAAACTGATTATACACCGGCTGGTGGTTCACTGGCGGCATATGGCTGCCTGAGAATTGTTGCATTGGCGGCATCGCCTGGATATTGCTGTTTCCGGCGGATTGTAAATTTTGAGGCTGAGAATATTGCTGGCCGCCGCCTGATTGGTTGTTGTCGGCAGGCTGAGCTTCCCATGGCGGTGGCGGCAGTCCACCGCCACTTCCACTTCCACCACCTATAAAACCAACCACAATATAAATTATTAAATTATTCCATATTACAGAAAGAACAACTTAACAGACAAAGTCAGAGTTTGACCATTCCATGCAGGATTTGACCCTTGACTATAACCAGAATTTCCATTTTGATAAAACCCAGGTTGCTGAGGTGGCATGTTTTGAGGTTGTTGGATTTGAGTAGAAGAAGAATTGTTATTTAGTGAAAACATATCAACAAGGGCGAGTGCGTTCTGCTGTGAAACAGGTGTAGCGGGTTGCGGTGAACCCACGGGTACAATCGCTAGATTGTTGCCAGCTGTCGGTGAGTTGAAATCATCTCCACTCAAAAGGTCAAACTTAGGGTCAACTCTAGTTGGAGTTGTTGTTGATGTCCCATTAGTTGTTATAGGAGCAAGTGATATCAAATCTAATCCACCACTAACAGATCTGCACATGATAAATCATTATTGGAGGGTATTTTGGACATTTGACAAACAGATAAAAGGAAATTTTAATTTTTAATTACGCTTTTTGTTTGGTTTCTGTTGCATCAATAAGAGGAGCATCAACAGGTACTAATGCTTTAGTTTGACTAGTTTCAGGCTTTGACTTTTCAGATGAAAGAGGAATTCCTGTAAGAAGTGCTTCATGTTTGCTTAAAACTCGTTCTAAATCATCATTTATCGCTAATCCTTGACATAATAGTGATTCATCCCTAAAACACAACCCAAAATATATAAATAAAATTTTTTTTTTAAAAAAAAAGTAAAAATTGTGTTGAAATTATGGTCTTACGAAGTAGAGTTGACCAAGTGGACCACTCTTCTTTTGTATGTACGACATTGTTCCACCAAGTCTACAATAACCTCTTGCCTAAGCCCCTGCTCCCAATACACAATCAAGACACAACATTTTAAAGAAAAGGGCAATTTAGTCATTTCACACAAAAAAGAAATTTACCTCTTTCTTTCCTGGATCTATTGCAGTCAGCATTTCTGAAAGGACATCCATGATACCACGTGCATTTTGCATTTCTGTCAAGCTGAAAATCCAAGCAACAAAATAAGTTAATAACCATAATTCTAACATGAAAACCAGAAAAGGGTATTTTGGACTTTTCACACACGATATACCTCAAGGTTGGAAACTCAGCCTCTACGGAAGACGCGGTTGCTTCATTTCCATTTTCAAGATTACGCGTGTCATGTGGATATTGTGATAGAGGTTGTGTTTGTGGGGGTGTAAAGACAGGTGTCGCTCTCTCAGATTTTTGTGGAAATACAGCCCCTAAACGCTGAAAAAATGTAATATATTGAGCTAAAATATATAAAAAATATAATTTTTATATAACAATTATATAAAACTTACCAGTAACTCATGGTATGCTGCATAGTATTGTGGATACCTTGCTCTTGACCCTCCAAAAGCTTCTTGCCATGTATCTATTAGAACTAATATCTTCTCTTTAACATGAAAATCAGGCTGCAGTTAAACAAGATTATGTTACATAACATTAATTGATTTTAACAAAAAGATGATTATTAGTTATTTACACAATATTTGAGCAAAATCTAACCTTCTTTTTCACTATTTTCACCATCTCATTAAGAACATCTCTTTCAGCTACATGCATATGAACAAAATCGCCACAATTCTTCACGATTGTTTCCAATAGCTGAACATGATAAACAAGAAAAAGAAAGTGGGAAATTAGATATAAGAAAACTGATATTGTGTGGCATACTTATTCTTCAGTTAGTATGATATACTTTGCCAATGAGGTGCCACACAAAAGGTGGAAGTTTACACTTCCTAGTTGTTTACCCTGCCCCAAAATAAACGATATTATATAAGGAGATAGATATTATCCCAATCTTAGTTTTATTTAAAATAATAATACCATGACCCTGAAGAACAAAGATAGAAGAATCAAAGTAGTTTTGTTTGTGCTTACTGTTAAAGCAAGAAGTTGGACTTTTGGATTCCTGCTTCCTAGACGCTTTTTTATGCCTTTTACAACTTCCTTAGCTTGCCTGTGAAACAATTGTAAAATAGTTTCTTAAATTGTACTCTTGATCATGTAATAAACATATATAATTAGAACAATCAGCCTAAAGTTCTTCGATTGCACTTCAATTTATCGTCTAGTTAACCTAATTTCTTAAATCCTAGTCAACATGTTAAAAGTAATTTAATTATAACCAGAAAAACCCTAAATTCTCCACCTCTAAACAAGTTGCAGCTCGAGATAGTCAACTGATCGAAAACCTACTCCAATTGATACAAAACAAGGCATATATCTACTTATTTTCTACAACAGAGACGACGATTAAAGAAACTAGAACATTTTGTGTAATCAAATAAACTAGAAATTGAAAAGGAACGGTTAAAAGGGGGGGAAAGGCGTACACAGGATCATGGTTGCAGATATCACAGATCTCAATATTCATGGCCCAATCAGGACCTATAAGCATGTCGCTTGTGGCTCTTCCCACCATGGAGTTCACCATTTTTATCCAGGATAACTGGAAATTTGAGAAATCACCGTAAGTTGATCAGATTTTGAAATAATGGATTGATAAAACACAAATCCAGAAACGAGAACAGAATCCGGAGATGGAAAAGGAGAGATTATAGATCAAACAGTTAAAGTAGGCTGAGATTTTAATGAAGGAAGGATGGGATGAAATTCAAAGTCAACAGATTGAAATGAATAGTCCTCATGCCACTGTATTTCTCTAGAAACAAGAATATAGACAAAAAGGAAAAAAATAAAACTTCGTATGATAATTAGTTAATTACAAAAACCGGCATTATTTAAGTCTGATTTTAATTAAGTAATATTATTTTGGGTTCGAAAGGTTAAAAGTTTATTTAGAGATTAGCATTGGTAAATGACTTACCGGTATAATCATCTTTGTTATTTTTTCATATTTAGATAACTTTTTTATTTTTATATATATTTAACCATTTAATTTGTTATATATATTTACATATCTCTTTTAAGTAATTTTCTCTATTTTTAATATTGATTCTATTTTTTTATATTTGTCTGTGAACACGTTATTTTTAAAATATTCATAATTTTTAAATATTAATTAAATATTGATTAATTTTAAACTTTATTATTTAATTAATAAATATGTTTTTGTTTTGTAAAATAGTTTATATAGCATCTTATATATATATATATATATATATATATATATATATATATATATATATATATATATATATATATATATATATATATATATATATATATATATATATATAGGTTTAGGTTTTATGGAAAACAAAAAACCCTAAAAATCATTAAAAATACATAAAAAAATACTTAGAAATCACAACTATTTTTTTTTTTTTTGAATTTTTTTATCAAAAAATCGCAACTTTAAGGTCAAAATAGCTGAAAAAAAAAATTACAAAAAAAATGAATTTTTTTTTTTCAGCGAAATTGTAAAAAATGTTGCATTTTTTGATAAAAAAAATTCAAAAAAAAAAAGTTTTGTGATGTCTTGGTATTTTTTATGCATTTTTAGGATTTTTAGGATTTTTTTTGTTTTCCAAATAACATTCCCTATATATATATATATATATATATATATATATATATATATATATATATATATATATAGAGAGAGAGAGAGAGAGAGAAAGAGAGAAAGAGAGATCTAGATTCAATTGTGGGTTGACATCTATTGTGTGAACGTGTGGATAATGCTATTTTGTGAAAATTACAAAGAAAATATGTTGTTTGATAATATGAATACGTTCAATCTTATATAATTATTTTAATTATTAATCATTTTCACTAATTAAATCATCTATAAGGTTATTATACACTTTTTTTAATTATTTTCATTCTGTCAGAATGTTATCAGGATTTTATTGAACGTATTTACATTACTAAACAACTAATTATCTTAGTAATTTTCATAAAATAGCATTATCCACACGTTCACACAATAGTTGTCCATCAACATTATATTCTAGCCATATATATATATATATATATATATATATATAGAGAGAGAGAGAGAAAGAGAGAGAGAGAGAGTCAAGATCAAATAAGAAGCAAATTTTTGGTAGGAAGGTAAAAAGTTTTTTTTTCTACATATTTTTTTCGCGAACAAACAAAATGAATCATTAGATGATTCATTTGTAAGATGATTCACAAGAAAAAATTCTCAAAAAAACATCTCGATGATTCATTTATATAATGATTTTGTTGTTATTCATTAAAATTGTCATAAAAGTGAATTTTTTCTTAATTTACTTAAAAATGAATCGTATAGATGTTTTTTTGAGAATTTTTTCTTGTGAATCATCTTACAAATGAATCATCTAGTGATTTATTTTTGTTGTTTGTCAAAAAAATATGTAGAAAAAAAAATTCTTACCTTTCTACTAAAAGAAATTTCTTATCGGATCTATATATATATATATATATATATATATATATATATATATATATATATATATATATATATATATATATATATATATTCTTTTGTTTTTAAGCATATACAATATTTTTAAAGCAAATAGTATCTAATAATAAAATTAAATACATTAAATATGTAACTATAGGTATGGAGGGCCTTTTAAAAAATTAAAAAGAAAATATTACTTAGCAAATAAAAGACAAAAAAATCTATATAATGTAAATATTTTAAAATTATTCCAACTTTTTAATACTTTTTAGTTAAAAGTTTATAAACTTTTAATTTTTTAATACAAACTAGTATTTAACGAAACTAATCTAAAATGTTATAAAAAATTATTAAAGTGTCATACAAAATCTGTGAAACACTTTAAAAATATTGTAAAAGAAAGTTTAGAAATAAATGTATGAAAGTTATAAAAAAATTGTACGAAAATGTAAAAAATAATAATAATAATAATAATAATAATAATAATAATAATAATAATAATAATAATAATAATAACAAGTTAAAAAACTTGTAAAAAATATTTAAAACATTTATAAAATATTTGGTTTAAAAACACTTATATTAAAATTATATGAAAGTATAAAAGAAAGTTTTTAAAAGAATTATAAGCAAAGTTTAAAACATTGTATTAGAAAAACATATAGAAAAAAAATATAATAAAAATGTTGTAAGAAATTTTAAAAATTTTAAGAAATTTATTTTTTTTATTAAAAAAAAAAAAAAAAAAGTTGTTCACGTTTACGTAATTTTTTTTAAATAATTGACCATTTAACTTGTTAAATGTGTTCACATATAATCATTGTCACCTACTAACAAGTTAAATAGTTAGATGTGTACAAAAGAAATAAAGTTATCTAAACGCGAACAAGACCAAAAAATAATTACTCTCGTAAGTCATTTTCCTATTACCATTTCGTATATAAATTTTTTAATTTATAGAACCGAATTTTCTCATTATTTATTTATTTATGTAATATCATTCAATTTATAATTAAAATATATAAAACAAACAAAAATCTTGTTTTAACCATTAAAAAATATCCATTTTGACAATGTACTTATTTTTTTTATATGGAATATTATCATAATTACATATAAAATATTATTATATTTAAATATAAAATTCATTAATTATATGAAATATTTCTCACTAAAAACTATTAAATGCATTAATTATATTGAATATTCTCTATAAATAATGCATTTGGTAATATTTTCTATGATTAATGTTATGTGTTTTTAACATATATTAGAAAATCTCTTTGTTTATTATATATATATATATATATATATATATATATATATATATATATATATATAATATATGGTTAGGTTCATGTGAGACGGCCTAATTTTGTGAGACCGTGAGACGCATTTTTTTATTTTTTTTTATTTTTTTTAGTTAATTCAAGTTCTGAAAATAATATTTAAAAAAGAATTTTTTGATTTTTCCATTTATTTTGCATTTTAAAATTATTTTTAGAATATGTACAACGTAATATTCTATTTAGAATATTTCACGTATTTTTCAAAAAAAAAATAGGATTTTTTTTATTTTTTTTAGTTAATTCAATTTCGGAAAATAATATTTAAAAAAAAAAGAATTTTTAGATTTTTCCATTTATTTTGCATTTTAAAATTATTTTTTAGAATATGTCAGTGTAATATTCTATTTAGAATATTTCACGTATTTTTCAAAAAAAAAAAAAAACGGGATTTTTTTTTTTTTAATTTTTTTTTTACTTTTTTTAGTTAATTCAAGTTCAGAAAATAATATTTAAAAAAAGAATTTTTGGATTTTTCCATTTATTTTGCATTTTAAAATTATTTTTAGATTTGGTCTTACGGTCTCATAAAATTAGAATGGTCTCAAATAAACCTGAACCTGTATATATATATATATATATATATATATATATATATATATATATATATATATATGTATAAACAACACATTTTAAATTAAGGTTTACCTTTTTTTTACACCATGAATCAAATATTATGATGGAACAACCGAATTCTATTGTTTATTCATCGAATTTATCTCATGATTGTAATATGATCCAAAGGTCATGATGATAAAGTTTTTTTATTATATCATAACTTCAAGTTCTGTTTTAAGCTCAATTTTAAATAATAACTAGGTGTGAGATCCATGTATTATATGAGTTTGTTTTAAACAAAATTATATATGAAATTTTAACAATTTGAGAAGTTTAAATTTATAAGAAAAATGAACAAAAAAAAATAAAATTATTAAAATTAATGAGACTTTAATACATTGAATACATTACATATATAAATATTTTCTAATAAATACCTTTCGTATTAAATGTGAAATTTTAATTTAATAAAATAAAAAATACAATAAAATGACAAGTGGCAAATAAAAAATTCAAAAATTTTAGAAAATAGCATGTGTCCAAATGAAGAAGAAGATGACATATGGTAAAAAAAACCTTGATTTATTAAGGAGGATAAATAAAAAAAAACATGATGTTACTAACTTTTAGACAGGAAAAAAAAGCAAGCAAATTTGATCATATATTCTTTTTAACATTTATATATTCTTTTATAATAATTAAATTGTATCGTTAAAAAACAAAAAGACAATTTTAGTCAAAAATCTTAAAAATTTACATACGAAATATCATAAAATAAAGAAATTGCTGATAACTGAATTACATATAACATATCTTTGTCTACTATTTTGCTTATGGGTTATAATTTCATAGTCCGCAAGTCCAATATATTTAAACATTCGGAAAAAGGAAAAAACAAAACAAGTCAACCTTGTTTTCAAAAATTTCAAACTTGAAGAATTCTCTCGTTAACTAAAACTGCCCACTAATTTGAATTAAGTCTACTAAAATGAATTATTTTATATTATATAATTTTAGTATATCGATTATTTATTGAATTTGAATTAAGTCCACTAAAATGAATTAATCCATATTATACCATTAGAGATAGAGTCCATATACCAAATTATGTTCCAAAAATTCCAAGAGTTTATCAATAGTCACTTTATTCGTTGATCTGTATATCAAATTGACACTTTTTGTTTTGAAGCTTGTTAACTTTATGATTGATGTAAACAGAATTTGTTTATGGTATATGGTTTGATCACTTATTAAACTTGTTTTTTTTTTTTTTTTTGTAAATTGAGTTTATTATGTTGATAGATTAGGAATGTGTTAGAGATGGGCTGGGGATAGGCTGGGGAAAAACCCAAAATACAAAGGGGAGGGGATTTGATTTTCCGCATCCATCAAGGATGGGGACGAGATTAGACACTTGGTGATGGGGACAGGGATGGTCAACCCCGCCCAAACCCGCCTTATTTCCATCCCTAGTTGGATCTTCTACCACATCGATCTGTAAACGAGCGAGTAAGATCTCTTTTTTAATAGACCAAACAGTAGCCATTTTTAACGATGAGGTGTAGAAAAATATTG